TTCTGACTTAGGTGAGAGAAGAGGTGACCTAGATAGAGGGAGTGTAATTTGCACTGTCCCTGCAAGTGAGAGATCGCACCCGTTCTGTCAGACAGCGTGACGATGATGCTGATAGATCCGAGATTGAGGGAGAGGTTTTGGTTTATAAGGTGCAGTTGTTTATCAGGTGTAGTAAAATATTAGAAACAAGTAATAACATGCACATACAAATGTAGAAATTATATCACGAATGCCCTAGCAACAGTGGTAGAAAGTAACTATTTCTCAAATATTGCAGTTAAAGGACCAGTGTGTAGGATTTAGTGGCATCTAACAGTGCAGTTGCACCGGCCGTGAAACTTGCGCGATAAAAACGTCTGGTTTGTCCATTCTGGGCTACTGTAGTAACAATACCATTCAATGTGGCCGACCGAATATGAAAACATACCAATGGATATTATATTCCACTTCTGCCAAGAGATCCTCCTAAATGTTTCAAACTGGAGCTACTTGAGTATTCCCAATATATGCTACTTCATATTTCTTCTCCATTACATTTCAGATTTAATACTGTACAATTGAATTGTCAAGGATTAAACCAACCTTTTTGGCTTGTGATGCCTGTCACATTAAAGATGTCTGTGAGTTGTTAACAGTCCCACCAGAGAGACATTTACCCTCTAAGAGTCTTAGATGTTTTCATTTAAATAACTGAGGCCCAAAAAGGTCAAATTATCTAATAAAAACAAAAAAGGCAGGCTGAAGGGATGTCAGAGAAGAACCAGTGTGGTGTGGCTGAAAGTCACGAGCTAAAGCGAACTATTTAAGGAGGCAGATCTGAGTCCAAATTGAGGTTAACGTGACAGAAACTGGCTTGTCGTCATCTGTTGTTCCTCTCTTCTCCAAAGTAGGTTGTGGTTAAAAGAGTCAGCTCAGTTAACCTAAAAAAAACATCTGTTTTTTAGCTAACTGTAGCCGGCAGGCTAATTTAACAAAGCAATGAACAGAGTAAGAAACTCTGAGCTCTCCTGTCAGAATTTGGCTCAGGGCCCTCTCTTTCTTTCATATAAAATAATTAGGGCTGCTGCTTTTAAGATGATGATTTGTCTGATGACCTGTCTCACAACCCCCATTTGAATCATCAGTTTCAATCATCAAATACTAATATTTTTATACTCCCTGCAAAAGTACACGATAAAAGCTTTCACCGACAGCACAGTAACAACTCCTGGCTGACTGATCCTTTGTTTTCCAAACTACCTTGTCACGTGCTACCAGGCTGCATAGTTTAGTCTTGACTCAAAGGTGGGCTAATGCCTCATAAAAGTCTAAAGTTTGGATGCACTTTGGATGTCTTACTGTTGATACTATTGTTTCAGCAATGCAATTTTAGGCAGGGAAAATGTCCTTAGATGGTGCGTTTGTGCGCTTGGGGAGGGCCTAGTTGAATACCCTATGCAGCTAATGGTATTTTTAAATCCTGTGGAACAATCAAAAGCTCCTGAAAAGCTATGAAATGCACCAACAACTACTGTTTCCAAGATCAGGAATGAACCTTTAAAGTGAATATGGACAATAAGTCTATTGTAAATTTGAACATCTACATACAATTGGATAAAACTCATCTGCTGAAAGCTAAGCTACTAAATATACCTTGTGGTGAGCTTGTTTTGTCAGTGATATGTTTTGGAACAGCCACCCAGCTTCTTAATCAGCAAGGGTCCAACAATAAAGCTGAACCACCATATTAGCTCGAGCACAAATCAGATGTGTTCACAGAGGCATTGATAACTTCTGCCCAATAAGCCAATTTATTATCTAAACAAAGAACTGATGTAAAATGTGAAAACAGATATCACAGAATGCCTTTGAATGGGCCAATCACACTTAGAGAAGGTTATTGCAGTGCTTTAAAACATAGTGGATGCTGAATTTCCTGTTGCTGTGACAACGCTCCAGGCTGAGCGAGCCAATCAGGGACAGTACCTGAATGCCCTTTTTTAAAGGTATTTGCTTCATCATTACAGGACTGTGTCTGCAAACCTGTTGACCCTAGTAGTTTGCAAAATTACAGCTATATTCAGGGCTGCTGAAAAACAGAATTATGGTTTGTTTTGTCTATCTTGCAGAGTCGGTAGAGGGGGTTTAAAGAAAAACAATATACTGGTGTTTCTGTTGAGTTGACTATCAGAGTGCCCTTTGAACTTCAAGTTGACCTGCAGCCACACCCCTCTCTGCCCTTGGCCTGAAAAGAAACTTTGTTCTAGGACCACGTTCCCCAAACTGGATAATCTCCACGGTTTCTCTGAAAATGAGGGGAGGTTTAGCATCAACAACTTTAAGATTAGAAGTGGGTTATTGCCATGGAAGTTATTGTCTTAGCTACCGTCATCAGCTGGGAAAACTGTGACAGTGAAAGTGTCTGACATATTCTCCTCTTTTTTTTTTTTTTTTTCCTTCCCTCTCTTTTTTCTTTTTTCTTCTTTTTTTTTTTTTTATTATATAATAAGAAAAAAAAAGGGTGTTTTTTTTTTTTTTTTTTTTTTTACATTTTTTTTTTTTGTTGTTTTTTTTGGGGGGGGGGGCCCTAAAAAAAAAATGAAGAAAAGAGAGGGGTTAACCTCAGGGGCTTGGATTAACTCTCACCTATTCCAAAGAACAGCAAGCCATTACAGAAAAATTATTTCTCAATTTACTTTCCGGGCAAGCTCTAAAAGTAAGCCTGTTTCTGGGAGTGGTTCCAACATAAACCCCCGAAAAATGTTGATGTGCCGCTCCCTGTAGGAACTTAGAAAGTAAAGCTTGTGTAAATAATGTCTGGAGCGGTGTGTCTTGTATTCTAACGATTAGCTCTTTGCAACCTACAACTTGATATGTGACTGCTTTAGGTTTGTTTGTGCATGTCCTGTCATCCTGGTCAATAAGAATCTGTAGAAGAGAAATGAGGCGTTGTGCGGTGGAGTGGGTTTAAGTGTTTTGACTTAAAGTCACATGGCAGAAAATGAGCATTGCATGCTGATCAGTCTCTCTCTTTTTCTCAGAAATGCTCTTACTCTTTATTCTCTCTCTATGTATGACTAACTACCCACTAGACCCTGTTGTGCAAGAGGAGAGGTAATAGTCGTAGGAAAGCATTGTAGTAGTAGTCACACTTGTGACGGCAATAAAACAAGTAGTTACAGTTGGAGGGATAGCAGTAGATGCTGCAGTACCACTTTAGTTGCTGTAATAGTCTGGTAGTAGTGGTCGTGGTCGTTATTGTAATGATACTACTGCTGCCTAGATGTAGAATTATAATGAATTAGTAGTCACTGTGAATGGAGATTGTTTTGATAGAGTTGTACCAATAGTAGTAGCTTGTGTAGTTGTATTTGTCGTTGCTGTTCTAGTATTACTAGTATGTCAGTTGATAACATGTAACTATGACAGTAGTTTACCCCACAATAATTCACCTCCCTCCTCCAAAATGTGTCATTAATCACATGAGCCTCTGATTTAATCAAACTGTCCCCTTTTTGTGTTATTTCCAAGCATATCGATACTGTAAAAATATGATTAATATAGGAAAAAAATATGTTTTACAGTGAAGAAATTTGTGTTTAAAGAGCAGAAAACCAGAAAATATTGCCAACTAACAGCGTGGCTACCACAATAAAGGTTTAACCGTAACTAACATTGTCACTAGTGCAATGCTGGCAGCTCCAAAACAGTAGCAAAGGGTATCTGTTTCAAAAATGTGAACGACAATGTCATCAGTAACCTGCACACAACATGCTCATGTGTGTTAATCTGGCTCTCTGTGACAGAAGCAGTACATCCACGTGAAAACCTTGCAGGGAGCAGCTTTAATTAGAGAAGACTTTCACACTTCACAGTACAGTGAAGGCTAATGTGGCATGTGTAGGTGTGATGTATTCTCAAGTCTCTGTTCTTATACAGTTGATCAGTGCGCTATGAATAGACTCTGCGAAGTTCTGAGGTGTACTTCGTTCATGTTCACTGCCTTCTTCACTCATATCAGTACTCATACTGCACCCCCGAGTGTAACGGTCTGGAATTTATGTAAAAAAGTTAACGGCCTGAATCCTGAGACTTTTATTTTACTCTTCAAATGATTTTTATTTTGCATAGTCCATAACTTTAGGCCTCCTTTTGGAGAATATGGAGCAGTTCCTTGAGGTCAGTTAATAACTGGCAGCTCTGTGGCTGTGGGTGTGTCTGTGTCTGTGTGCGTGTGTGCAAATGCATAAATTGTTGTAGAAATTAGCAATCTGATTGACACGCGTTGTGGTTTTTCATTTTCGGCAGGTGTCTAACATGGCAAGAATGGCAAACCACACACACTTCCTTTCCTAACAGCATGTGTGTGTGTTCTGAAAGTACATTAGGTAATCTGTGTGTATTTCAGTTTGAATAACAGAGAAGCGTTTTTTCCCCTCAAGACGAAATAAGCATTTACATTTTTGTGTTTCGTCCACTCTTGATTTAAATCTGCCATTCGGAGAAAGCAACTATGGCTCATTTGATGGTACTTTAAAAGCACAAACAACATTAAAATGTTTACCACAAGTGAGCAGTTTCACATGAGCAGCCTATTTGCTCAAAGACTTACTGTGCTGACACACACTTGTCACGAATAGAGATGGTTGCCACGTTGACTCCTGGCAACCAGGGAGTTTCTGTAGCACTTGATTTATGTCTCCATTTTCATTCTTCCCTGTGTACATTGCTTTTGACAAACAACCTCTAAGACAGCACACATATTGTATTAAAGCCATTGTTTCTGAGAGAGAAGGTTTTAACTGAGGTTTGAGTTTCTCTGTGATGCTGACAGCACTTGATTGCATCTCATACCTGGGTGCTTTGCAGCTGTAATCACAGTAGCAAATGCGCTTTGCTACATAATATGCATGCACACTGTTCATTGTGCTGTGCACGTGGTGTTTAAGGGGAGAAGGATGGGAATTATGCACGAGTTTAGGGATGTTTGGCTTGTAATGGACATCTTGTTCTTTCCACAGGGTTTGCAAGTGAAGGCAGATTATGTTCCCCTGCTTCAGTCCCTGGCCACATATGGATGGAGGCTCACCTGTGTTCTGCCAACTCCCGTAATCAAAACTAACAGGTAATGATCCTCATCTAACTATTAAAGGGACATTAAGTAACCAATGACCTCTAACGACCCCTGTTGGCAACAAGCAGGAATTGCATTAGCAGCAACTCCATGCCTTTGTGTAACTTTTTACCAATTAAAAACAGCTCCTTTACAACAAAAAAAATAAGTCATAGCCCAATATAGAATTACTCTATTACAAAATTCTAAATTTTACTTAATTGAAAGTACAGAAGTGTTATCAGCAAAAAATGCACCTATATTATCAAAAGTAAAAGTACTCATTAGGCAGAACGGCCTTTTTTTGAGCATTACATTATCATATGTATTATGTGAGCAGCATTTTAATGGTGTAGCTGGTCAAGGTGGAGCTGAGTTTTGTAGGAAGGAAGGAAGGAGAAACATTAACTACCAGAAAATGGAAATACTGAAGGCAAGACAAGTTAATGTGTATAGCACTTTTCATTAGCAAAGCAATTAGGGCTTTATGATAACAAAAAAAAAACAAAAGATGATACATGGAAATTTTAAAAGAATGAAAATAAAATAGAAGATAGAAATAAGCTGAAATGGAATAAAAAATATGGAATTCATGCAATATGAACAAAGAACCGTCAAGTAAAGTACAAACCTTTACTTACTGTAAGTACAGTACCTGGGTAAATGTATTTAATTATGTTTCAGCACTGCTCCTAAATCATTTAAAACTCGCTGGATTATTCCGAAAATACATTGTCACTCAGTTGAAACAAGAGTCTACTTCAGAAAGTTGACCTTTGGGAGAAACATCCTCTTTTGTTAAAAGTTCTGTGAATAAATTGTACATCAATTGAAAATGTCATCACTGCTGACTTTTAGCTTTGCTGTGTGGAGGCCACTCTTAAGTTCAAACAAGACCTACAAAGTTTTTCTTAAGAAATGTGAAGCTGAAAACTGAGCTTCGTGTGAAAAGTTACTTTAACTTAAAATCCAAAGATATTATACACCAGAAGTATAACCTACTGTATATACTACAGTATCCCTGTGAAAACTGGAACACAGTATAAATCATAACTCACACACACCTTGTCTGTTCAGTTCAAGTTATTGTTCAAAGAAATACGACAGCTTTTAGAAAATATTGACCTAATTCTGTTCCAATTTAGGCTTTGAGTCAAGCAGCAGCTCTCACTGTTGGTGGAAAATCTCTTCACAGAAATGTAACGGTCCCTCAGCTAAGCCTGCGCTGAGTCATCACTCGTGGCTGCTATATGAGTGTACATCCGCTTATGGTCAAAGGCCTTGCATGTTTTTCAGGCACCCTGAAGAGCTTCAATTCATAGCAGAATTTGTTCTTCAACATGCTGATAATGTAGTGTATGAATCAAATATTTCAATCCGGTACGGTTGAGATGTGAAGTAGGTAGAAAATAGAAAATAAAATGAAAAAAATATGTAGTTTGGTATGGTGCACTGCCATTCCTACCCCATATTTTGCATTAAACGATTGGTTCACTTTTTTTATTTTTTTACTCTCAAACCCAAAATCGAAAAACTGAAAGAGCAATTGGCCGCTGTAATTGTCCCTGCTGTCCATACTGGCCTCAAAGAGATCCCTTCTATGTTAAAAGCAATTTCAGTGTAAGTTGATAAGAAAACAAACTCCACCTGAGTCCACGATCTGTGCAAAAATAATTTCTAAATTCAGCTGCATCTGTCATTTTGGTTTCAAATTTCCACTTCCTGCCCTTCTGCTACAGCTCAGCAAGGCTTGTCCTAACAGTACAAAGAAGGAATTTTTTACCAAATAGACTGTAACTCTCGAGAATCCTCATCTGATTCATCATTTTTGCTAAACTTTATATGCATTTTTGCACAGACGAGGTCCACTTACAATAACACCACAATCTCTTTTTGCCCAATGTGGACAAGAGGAATGATTACACTGACTATTAACAATTTGAATGCACATACAGGCATTTAAGTATTTGTTTAAAAATGAAAAATGTGAAACTATTCTTTAATATAATGTTGTCATGTGTCATACTAATGAAGTGTGCATGTAGTATTTCCATCAGTGCACTGACCAATTGTTTGCTCTGCCCCCACCTCAGCTGGTCATGTTTGTTGCTCTTTCACAGCATAGCTGATTAATTACCTCTCTATTTTCATCCTTTGTTTTTTTTCTACCTTCCCTCTCCCTCTCTCTCAAAATGCCACAACACAACAGCACAACATGGCTAATTAATCAGAGTCGGCCTAGATACAGTACAAGACGGAGCTCATTTCTCTCCCTGCCTTGAGAACATTTTGCGCGCAGAAATAATGGTTGATGATCTATTTCAGATTAGCAATACTCATTACACTTGTTTTTGTGGTGTTGACTCCTCCATTTTTAAATAGCAAATTTGCAAATGCACGCTTTTTGTAGTCTGAGGGTTTGCAGACTGCACTTCATCTGGAGGGGTCGGATAAGTGTCAGTGATCTCAGCAACGTCTGAAATTAATGCTAACTGGTGCTCAGCGGCTTCTCCACACAACATTAATTCATGTAGTTGTCTTAGAGCATGCATTCATGTTCGCCACATTCAATTAATGCAGATGGTAATTACATTTTAGAGCCATTAACTACAGTAAATGGGAATTTTTCGACATTAAGAATGGAACAAGTGAACAAGGAAAGAAGAAGGTTCAGACAAATTAGTTAATTATTGAAGGTATCTAAATTTGTTGGAAACTAAATAGTGATCACAATATACATTATAGAGTCATTATCTATAGTTGTTTTGTGTTTACATTTTTTAGCATCTGAGCATTTGATCTGTCAGGGTTTTTTTATTTCAAGTGTGCAGTAGACTTCTCCCCTAAAGATGAAGCCACCAACAGGTACATTCACCCATAAATTGACACAGGCTATTGCTGTTCTGTATGGCTTCAAGTTATAATAGTGCGGCGGACACTGACAGCCAAGAGTAGGTTCAGTAAAGGCCTGTAATTTTCTAAGCCATCCACTCCTCTCTAGCTTAATGGGCTGGGGCTTTTGCTGGGAACTCCGGGTTGGTTTTCAGCTTTGATTCGCCAGGAAGCCATCCAGCATTCTTGACAGCACGAAAATAGCGTATGGATAAATGGTGGAAGGAATAAGGTAATGGAAAAAAGAAGTTGTGGTGGGCTTTGGATGGTTTAGATAGTAAGCCTTCTGCTGGAGGAGTCTCAAACCCATTTGATGTTGAAAAAGGGAAGATTTGTTGCAGGCTTTTAGGGTTCTACCACGATCATAAACCTGCCATCTTCCCTCATGTGCAGGGCTGAGCGGGCAGCTTAACTTTAGACAGCATCTAACCTTTGTGTGTATGTGTGTGCATGTGTTATTGAACTGGTGTCAGATAGCTGCATAGGACAACATATCTTATTTTAAGCTATATCCAATAACAGCAAAAGATAAATAGAAGGAATAAAGCAGAAACAAACAATAAAACTGTCACATATGTGGCTGTCACAGGAGATAAAACCAGAGGGGTAAAACTGAGTGGAGAGCTAGTAGTGAGAACACTGTGGACTATAAAAGGGGCTGTGCATGACAAAGATGAGCAGACGAAGGACTGAGAGTGAGCGTGAGAGACGGGAAGCCCACTCAGAAATGAATCTACATTTCCTGCCACGATTAATCTGTCAGCATGAGCAGATTATCCTTCTCAGAACACAGGAGTGTGACATGTGCATGGGATGGAGGATTATATTTGGGGAATTGAGGAAGAGAGAAGATATACATGTTCTGAAAAGCTGAAGATGTTCACAAGTTACACAGACATTAAGGAATTTGTCAAAATCTGCCCCATTGCGTGTGAAATATCAGTTTCCTTGCAAGACTCAAGGGAAATTGAGGAGAAACGACACTGACAGATGACAGCAGTAAAGAGGTTGGGCCACAAATGTGAGCCTATATCTTTAAACTGTCAGATAAGGGTGTGAAGCATGAGCAGTGGCCGGCCATCATTTGACTATCTTTGATGGAAGGTCAGAAAGCATCGGTCTGTGTTATCCCAGAATTGAACTCAAACGAATTATATTTATCTCGGAGTTCTAAAGCAATTTTTCAAGCAAAGAAAACAATAAATTATGAAGAATCTGTCAGTGTTTGTAACATTGTTTCTAAATGTTTAAATGTTAGAAAGCAAGTGGGAAAAGCTTATTTCCATCTCCTATTCATTCTCATTTTATTTTTAATCATTTCTAAATAAATTAGTGCCAAAAAAAGGATTAAAGAGTAAAATGATCTCAGAGTCTTGTTGAAATGTAACATCATTCATGTAATTTCCTCTTTCCCTTTCTCTCTCTGTCCTCATCCTTTAGTGATGGAAGTCTGTCCACCAAACAGGTTGTTTTCCTACAGAGACCCGTCTTGGGCCGAAAGAGGAGGGAATCAAAGGTACACGACCTCACATTCCTCTCTGTATTTCTTGGCTAATGTGGGGTCTCCCACCAGCAGTTCTGTAACCGGGTCACCATATATCCAAGGCCAACCATCACCTTCTGCCACCCCCAATTTAACAGCTGTTTTTGTTTTAAGTAGCCAAACACAGACAGCGCTGGACAAATGTGAACAAACTCCTCTCTGTTTGAGATATCAGGAATTCTTCAGCACAGACAAATGTGTTGTTTGGGGAAGCAGGGTTGGTAATGCTTTCTTGGCGACCCTGAAAAGTGGTGATAACCTCTAAAGCTAACCTTTGTCTGCAACGGAATGAATCCATGTTGATGCTTACTGTGACCTGAATTTAAACTGCCATCACAACAACAAATTTAATAGGCCCTAAGACTCAGGGAATTGCTAGCGTTAACAAGATTTTCTTGTCTGTTTCTTTGCAGTTTATCTCGGTTCTCGCTATATCCCCATAGTGTGTATAACCGTGCAGAAGTTGCTCAAGTAATTGAGGACATATTGCATTAAAATTTTGCCTGTTTGTTTGGTCAGACTGCAGGCCTTGAGGCCACCAATAACTCCCCTCAAAATGGCCTCAATTTCCTTCTCGGCATCAGTGAGACTCATTTGAATTAGCTCGTTATCCCAGCCCAATATTAGATCCACTGTGATCCATTCTTAATTAAGTCTGTGTGTACTGCCTTGTGCCCAAAAGCATATTTAAAGAGTTATAATGCATTCCACTAACATGCTAATGTGAACTTTGAATGTTTCAGAAATTGATCTTCAAGCCCCGGAGCAAGTCCAACAAGAACTGCATCAAAGACACAGCAAAGAACAAGAAGAAGAAAAAAACTAAAATGGAGAGGGACACAGAGGATCCCAAGATTCTTGATGACAAAGAAAAGGTTGAGAAAGAGGAAGAGAAAAGTAGGGATGAAAGGGTGAATGCCACCGATGTAGAGTCAGCAAGAGAAAGTGAGACATCGAAAGAAAGGGAGGTGGGGTGTGAGGAAGATAGAAAGGTTGGTGACGGGATTGAAATCAGCATTGAGACAGCGACAAAAGAGAAACGAGCAGAAAATAGCAAAGAAGAAGAGGGAGAAGAAAAAATAGCACTGGATGGAGTGGGGTCAAAAGAGAATGGAGAGCCTTTCGAAAATGGCGAGGTCCAAGAGGTGACGGAAATCGTTGCGACTGTCGAAACACAGAGCAAGACCAAAGAAACGGAGGATGAGGGCGTAGCAGAAGTTGAAGCTGTGATCGAAAACGGGGTTGCGACGGATGAGGAAAAAGACGAGGACGAAGAGGACGTGATCAAACGCAAGACAGAAGAGCCAGCAGGCGTAGAGATCAATGCCAAGGAGATAGTGGCGGATTCACTGGCCACACCGACTAATCAAAACCCAGAGGAGACTCAAGAGTAGCCCCGAGTAGTCTAAGTCAAGGTTTTTCCCTGCCCTACCTCTCAAATTCCCCATCTTAAGAACTGATTCACAGTGTTGTCCCTGATCCAAATTAAAGGGGCTTCAATCCCCATCGCTGCAACATTCTCCAAACCTACCATCATTCATAGACAAGTCCCCCGCAACCTGCCACAGTATAGACACAGAACAATTTCATGTAACTGCAGACATCAGCCCTACTGTGTAACCACACATACTGAATGTATATATCCAAAACAGGAGATTTTGGTGCAGGATAGTCAATGTGGAGACACTGGAATAATTGGATGAGGGGGTTTGAATACTGAATGAAAATTAGCTGCATTCTTCTTTTACTTATGAAGAATGACAAACAGTTTAGAGGCCTGGTCACACCAGCATGTAAAACAACAGCATTTAAAAAAAGATCAAAGGAAGCATAATCAATTTCTTTCTTTATCTTTTGCACAAGTTTGATACACAAATTTGCACCATTAACCAATCAATTAATAGAAACTAATCTTGACAGTGTTAAACTTTGAGGCAATGGTGACTCTGACAGTCAAAATGGAGGAAGCTATCGTATCTTGTTAGCTGTGTTGCACCAACCACTTTTACCTCCTCCTATTAACCTCCTCTGTCAGAGTATTAACTGCTCCACAAAAGAGGCAGCCTCTGAAACAAGGGTCAATGCTACAAATACCTCTTTTGAATAAACTGTGTGAACTTATTGTCCCGTTGGCGACTGAGATAACTAGCCAACGCTCAGACTCTTTATTGAATGAAATGGTGTATAAACCAGAATTTAAGAGGGGAGTGAACAGGACAGTACTGAAAAAATAAAAGCTAGGAAACTGTTGAGACTGACTAACACTTTGTGTTAGCAGTTAGCTTACAAGATACAGTAGTCTACCAAATATCCCTGCAAATAGTCCCTCCCTCATCAAGCCTCTAGAATTACAAATTTCTCAAAGGTACGGAAATAAATTGCGCTGCCACTTTCTGGTGTGACCGGGCCTTTTCTTTCTTTTTTTGACGTCAACTTTCAACGTGTCTAAGTAGGGTTCATTAGATACTGAAAGAATAACAGTTTTTTTTTTTTTACAATAATGGATAGAAGAAAGTTTTCTGCTTGCTTTTGAAAAATGATTTGAGAAACGTATCAAAACATGAGTCCTAATAGATCTACCCAGTTATAGCACCTGTTACAAGGTGTACTTTCACCTGAGAGTTGAGCTCTTTTCAGTTTGTGAAGTGAGCTCCAAAATCCAAAAGGCAGGCTTGACAGGACAAAGGCCTTCTTCATCCACACGACTGACAATATAAAGGCAGGTATGCTCAAAAAAGCATATTACGTGATCACAGACTGTATCACCATTTCTTGTTCCTTCGTTCTGTGCATAGAAAGTTCTGATGTGGAGGGAACTTGGAGGAGAACGCTGGTAGAGGTGAAGGGAAAGACGTTTGTTGCGACAGGCAATCCAAAGTAGGGTGAAGAGATAATTGTTTACGCTGAGCTCTAAGCCGTCAAGTGCTTCAAAGAGAGCCGATAATCACTCTTTGGTGTGGTGTGCTAAGCTCACCTTGCATACAGAATGTTCCATATTCAAAACCAAGTCAGATAAGGATGTGAAATTCAGCTGAATGTTTGCAGCTTGAGGGCAGAACTCATATTTAGATGCACCTAGTTAGCTTTTACATACAGGAGTGAGGATTTATTTCCACGCAAAGCTGCATTTTTAATTAAATTTCAAGTCAATGGCCACAAACAAAAGCTCTTGTCAGTGTGGAAACAAGGTTAAGCTGTGTGGTCAGGACCGAGCATTGTTGTTTACTGAGACCAAGACTGCAGATTGAGAAGGAGAAATTGAGACAAAGAAAACGGTTGAGAGCGAAAGAGAAAGACCACAGAGCATAGAGAGTCAAATAAAAGAAATGAATTGGCTCATTTAAAGTAACGACCGTTTGCGTCCCACATTCCCCACTGAGATTTCCTTCATTATTTTACCTCCAGCTCTTTAAGCACCTCTTACCAGACATCATTTCTGACAATAAGCAAGTCATAATGTGCTGTTTCACGGCATCAAGTAGCTTTCCATTTTAAAAGGGGGGTGGGTGGGAGGAGGTGGGAAGGGAGGAAGGTGGGTACATTCACGGTGTAGAGCTCTCATTAGCTCACTAATGGATTTTGTCAGTGGGGTATCTGTCAGGAATCATGCATTTATAATGGGGGTCACTTATTGAGGGGGGGTATTGACAGCAAAACACCTCAACATGTCAAGCAAATAGCCTTCAGATTTACTGGTGATGTCATAGGGAATCATTTGCACTGAGGAGGAAGAGTTTGTATTAAAAATTTTAAATTTAGCAAGGAAATTACACACACTTCATCATAAAATATGTCAGAAAACGTATTTATTAAAATGTTCACATTTGGTTAATCAAGAACTTAAACTACCTGCTGTCCTGCTTTATACAGACTATAATTTGTCATAATTTGGATCTTTTGTTTTAAGAGAATAGATGATACCTTGGTCAAGAGAAATGTCTCCTTTTTGGAGATGAAACTCTTCAATTACACACAAGTAAGATCGATTATGCTGAATAAGTGCTCTCCTTAATGAATCCACCCGCCGCTGAGATTTTTTAAAATGTAAAATGGCAAGTGTTTTTGTGTAGAGTAGAATATAAAAACTGTGACCAGCTTAGCCTTATTACTATACTGTAAATGGCCCACAATCTGCTTTTAGAAACGTCTTTTAGAGGCACAATGGTGATTTAAGTGTTATATGTTTGTTATAGTCAAACAAGAAAGTTTTGCTACAGTCAGTGTTGGTATTTTGAAGCTGTTGTTCCCTGTTTTATTACTGGAATTCAGAGTGAGGGGATAAAAGATTTGAAGTGTTTGTCTATATGAAGGTAATATGTTTTGGATTTATTTTTAAAATGTTTCGATTTTTTATTATTGTGAATGTTCTGTTTTTGAGTCAAGAGATTTCATGGTGACTTTGCGTTGCCTCTGCTGTTCCGCTAAAGCTTGCTAAAATGTATTTCTGACTGACGCTTTGAGCTACCTCCCGAGGGCTGTTGTTGGTTTTAAACCGAGGGGTCACAGCGTATGTGACCCCTTGAAACATATGCTCCTTGTCCTCTCGCCCTCCACTATGACAGAGCCCAGACCTGTGAGCGTGAGGTCATCGCTAATGGCAGACAAGGTCAAGGATCATATTTGGGCCGGAATGGATTTTCCACAGCTGTACACAGGAGTTTGCACGAGCACATGACTAATAACCACTATATTGAATTAAGATATGAAGTCATATCATAATATTCTCTGTGGTATTTTCTTCTTCTTTTCTTTTTTTTTTTTTTTTCTACTTCATACAGCTGCTTTTAGCTTTCGGCTGTTTGAGCTTTAATAAGCACTTATTGTATTCAAGAGATATTTTGTGCTGCCTCTTGCATCAGAGCTGCTGAGGAGCAAATGAGACTCAGCTGTCACTTTCACACGTTTGTCAGAATGTGACGAATATAAAGTATGAAAGGCAATACCAAAAGAAGCCTTTTGATAGCTGACGAGATCATTATGAATATATGAAATTTCCCTACTGAATCCTGGTCAGCTTAGTTTTCATCAGATTTAATCAATTTCTTCATTTTCTCCAGCATCAAGATAAATGTTTTAACTGTCATCTATCTGTTTATGAATATGAATTTATTTTAGTACTCCTGCCTTTCTCCTTTTTTCCCCCTTTTTTTTTAAATTTGAAACTGTGACATTCATTCCCCTCTGGCATCCTGTGAAAACAGTCAGGTCATATTCCACTTTATCTAGAAGAGCAGAGTTTGGAAAATCAGTTAAGCGTCGAGATGATCTCATGTGACTGTTTTTTGACTCCCACTACATTCCGGTTGGACATCCACAAACATGGATGATCGTAACCTTGACACAAGTTACAACCGGTAACCCTGTGTCCGCCCGTCCTACCTGAGGCCATGGCCTTCAGGGCCCCATCTCTCCCTGATAAGGGCTGATTGGTTGCAGTGCAGTCTAACCTCTGACATGAGCACACTCCAGGGGACTGTGGGTAATTGTGATATTTTTTTTTCTTGGTATTACGAAAAAGAAAAACACATAGAGGGAGAAAAAAAGCGAGGCAGGATTTGACACTTCATCAGTTAAATGATGCTGAACCATGTTAACTTAGCCGTCCGTGAAAAGAAGGAGACCTTTGACTAATGTTAGACTTAAATATACATTTGCAGCCTTCTACCCATTTGTGTAAAAAAAAGGGTAATATACAGTTTCCTGTCTTATATCAGCATAATTGTCTCTGAGCCTCAATAGTGGCGCTGGTGCAATCGTTCTTGGTAATGCTGTAAAAAATAAATAAAAATGTAATGGTTCATTTCCTGTGTGCTACTATGATGTGAAATGGGCAGAGTAGTAATGACAGAACATGATACAATAGGATGCCGTCATTTTTTTTTTCCTGTGTTGTCACTTTAGCTTGCTCACAGCCTCTGGAAAATGTATTCTTAGGTTTTTGTCTCTGATGTTAGTTTTTTATCACCTCGGCTGCCATCTTGAATGTTGAATATCTTTGATCATGTGCTGATGTCACTTGCATAGCAGTGTTTGCTATCGAGGAAGAAAAAGTATTCTTTATCTTTGCTATCCTGAGTATGTCCACATTCCTATTGTTCATGACATCTGTACAATTTGTATATTATAAAATGATTTATATTTAATGTGTACATGTATCCTTGCTTCTTTTGTGTCGAAGGAAATAAGGCGTCTGTTGTTTGTTAAGGCAGCTGCTATTAAAAGTAACTTAGATGCTGAAGCGCAAAAAGCTTTTTCAGGAATTACGCTGCAGCTCTGCAAAACGTATAAATGCTGTTTAACTTTTCCAGTTGATTTATACATCCTGCAATCCAGGGCATAGACAACTCAAAGGACCAGTGTGTAGAATTTAGTGGCATCTAGCAGTGCAGTTGCAAATTGCAACTTCCTTACTTCACCCTCCGTTTCAAAGCATGAAGGAGAGACTGTGAAAAATGTGAAAAGCCCTATTTAGAGCCAATGTTTGCTCTGACCGTTCTGGGCTATAACATGTTGGTTCAACATGTTGGCCTCCATGGAAAGCAACCTGCAGAGTCTATAGACAAAAACAGCTGATTCTAAGGTAACAAAAAATAACAATTCTTATTTTTAAGTGCTTAAACACTAATGAAAACGTAGTTATGAATATTATATTCCATTTCTGCAAATAGAGCTTCCTAAATGTTACACACTGGACCTTTATGTTGAGTCCAAGTGTAAGACTGAGTCAAGATCAAGTCCAAAACAAAAGGAGTGTCCATTTGAATTTATTCATACTGTCACATACATTGTCTTACTATTGTTCACAATGATAGACAACTGTGATATACATTTAATCACTGAGTAGTACAATGCTTTGGATGTATACAAATTTGAAACGTTGGTTTGAACATAAATTAGCTTAAACTTTTAATTATTGGGTAAAACTATGACAAAAAATCAAAGAACAAATAATAGTTATATTTGAAACAAAATACTGCAGTCTAGCAGAGAACATAACTCCTCACATTTGTGCATATAACCTTTAAAATGAGGATGCTTGGTTACTACATAGCAAAGTCACACTATGTAAAATAGGCATTACCTGCAGTTGTAAAAGACATTCAATATTTTATATTTATTTACCGTCTATTTTGCAGCCTTTCCAGTTTTGTGACATACACACAAGACAGAGACAACTCTAAGACAGAAAAAAAAACCCTCTGAAGATCAGATTTGTGTTCAACAGCTTTACCTGCAACCTTGAGAATGAGCAGACACAATGGTTAGTGCTCATGTTATCTCTGTGTCATTAACCAGCAGAAACGAGTTCATACTGCTCTGCACAAGGACACCCCATGCTGCCCTTGGAGAAATAGAGAAAGTAACTGAAAGATGAAATTACAACTTCAGTCCACTGAACACAGTGAAAATACAAAAAGAAGCAGAATGCAGCAGGGATATAAGACTTATAGACTCAAATCACTTATTTTCTCTAAGAGAGGAGAAGTTGTTTTTTAAAATCTGCTCCATCTGGTTATTACCGTCATTACTGTGGAAACCTTGGAATAGATCAGCTTTATAGTTATTACACTCTAACACCACAACAAGATCATTCATTTCGCCCTTACATCAAAACAATGCCATTCAGCCCCAAAACTGTCCCTCATGCATCAATATTTCACATAAAAACCCAAGGCCGGCACCCATCATAATAACCCTACGGTGCTTATGAAGAGAACTATATTTACAGTTGAGAAAACACAGCCGGTGTGATCTATCATGAGCGAGGAGCCCAGGGGAGCGTATGAGGTCATTAAGAGGAGGGCTTTGCCTTCAACCAAACCCACAAACACCATATCCATTCTGTACACTGCAGGAAGCGTTAATGGTCTTGAGGCAGATTGGGGACTGCTGGCAAGCCACTAAGCTGGTCAGAAACACATTGAGCCTGTGGTTTGGATATTAAACTTATGACCCGGGGCGTTACATCCTTGAGGTTCCACCGTAGGACCCAGAGGTAATGCTACACAACAAATTGCTGAGGGCAGCATGTTTTGAATAATGAAGTTTCTTTTTGTGAGTCAAAAAAAATTTTTTTTCATGATTGAAAATAGCGTTCAGGGCGGGGTTAACGTTTATTCAGTGCAGGTTTGTGGCCTTTGTGCCCAGAGGGCTTCTGAGGTTCACTAAGAGGTGCAGGTGCGTGGCTGTGCCAGGTGTTCAATGTTGAATTCATTGATCCAGAATTCATTACACCCACATAATCAGTGTAAAATGTTTATATTGGAGGTGTTGTGTCATAAAAGTCATTGTTTCTGGTGAGATTAAAGTTCCACTTGACGCATCACTGCCATCTAGTGGCTTCCCAAGGCCTCATGTGATGCAAAATAGACCTCAAAATAAACAAGACCCCTGTTATTTCTGGAATCATTTAGAGTATTTCATCAACAGAATATGAATTGCAAACAACTGTAATACCTAATCTCTAAAACAAAAGGCAAACATTAGTATGTTTGAGCTTCTCCACTGTGACAATTTGCAGCTTTTTTTCAATTTCATGTCATCATAAAATAATCCAGGTATAAAATAATATCCACCTTATATTGTCTTTTATACTCCTTAAAGGCCTCCACCTATTTTACACATACAGTAATGGTCAGTTTACATGTGACATGGAGTATAAAACCAGCTGTATAATGTTTTCAGTGGCTCTCACAAAATAACTCTGATGATGTCTTAAAGGTTTTCGACTGAGATTAAACAAACTGTGTTAAGTGGGGGCATACAGTTTGAAAGATGGAGCATTAAACAGGCAGGTAAGAGTTGGATCATCGGATATGTAGGATCCAGCATTTCTGGATGAAGCTAAACAAATATAAAAGTAAGGATATCTCACCTCTTTTTCTATCACATGTCCCCAATTTAATGGAACTGGAATACATCTTTAAGTGGAATAAGGTCATTAAAAATCATCTCTTTCCACTCTGACAGCATCACATATTTAATGTATCAGCTTGTTCCAACTCTTCATTGACGCAAAATGTTGTTTACACTGAGTTAAATATTTAAACCCAAGACTCGTGTTTATTATGTGTGCATGACTGAATCAATTGAAGATACTCTAGCGGTGTAGCATCATTTTAAATACATTTCCCTTAAATTCTGCCTGATATGTCTAGTATATTTGGAAACTTCCAGATTTAAAGTTGAGTTTTGTGGGTTTCATTTAAGTTTGGCTGTAACAAAAAGAATCTATTTAAAGATGACACCTCTGGCTCCCAGATCTTCAATAAGCATGTATCCGTACTTTTTAGACAAAAACTAATGATGGATGGTTGTGTTTTACATCATTAACTTGAAATGAGCTCACTCCTCACGCTGATATTATATCTGTTTTTCCAAGCAGACCAACAAGTGCACTTGAGCATCTAACACCAACTTTGAACTTAGATATGAGGTCAGCATGAGTGTATTAATTTACCATAACAGAGAGGCACTCTATAGCTGTGTGTTAAGGACTATAATCACTTTGCCTTGACTTGCAAAATCTTCTGAAAACCATTACCGCAGTGTTTGATAACGTCCTCAAGTTCCCTCCCCAGTCCTCCACACACACTCTGTGTTAGCAGATTAACTACTCACCGATTAATTAACACAATTACCTCTGTGTGTGCCAATCGTTGTCTTATCAACCTTTGTCAGGCCTTAAACTGTAAATTAATTAATATCCCCTCTCTTGTCATTTCTTAATTACCTCAGTTCCAGGAGGAATTCTGGGAAATTCCTGTGTCAGCAGCAGCTCTGTTTTGTGCTCACGCTTATTTTGACTTTGCTGGGAGCTTATTGGTTCACTAGACAGGATATGAAACCACGCTGCTCTCATGCTGATGAGAGGTGATGAGGGGATGACATGATGTAAAAAGTGGCTCTTCAGACGAGGACTTGATTTGAAGCGGTGCTCCTTAATCTTTCTGTTTTTCCTGCTGAAGGTGACACTCGACTTTGTTTAGGGAGCTGGAGGTTTTGACAAATAACCGTCAGTTTATTGTAGACTGCTCTAAACTCTGATCTCAAAAAACGAAGCAACTGACACTATACACATCAAGACCTTCAGGTTCTGGAAAATCATTATCAAGAGACAGCAGCAATTCAAATGAGATTTTTTTATTATTTGTCATCCTTGAGTTCAGGTCGTTGGAGACGAACTGGATCAGGTCGGCTTTATGTTCACCTCACCTCACCTTTTACTGTCAATAAAAACGACAAGCACAATATCATAAACAACAATGAATGGTTGCCACAGAACTGTATACAGAATATATTACATTTGGCATTAGAAATATTTCATACGGTCTTCCTGCAAACCTTCAAATGTTAAAAAATAGATCCAAACCGTGCATCCAAAATGAAAAAACAATCTCACCTCAAGGTCCACTTAGTAACCATCCTCTGCTTTTGAAGCCAAAATGGACAAGATATGATTGAAAGCCAAAGCTAAATGGACCTTGGGGTGACATTTTTGTGTCAACTGTTGTTTCCAAGGTCAAAACTGGATTTTAAAGCTTCCCAAGATTATCAGGTGCAGTTTTCTCTGTCCAGCTTCCACCTCTGGGGATAGAGGTAGCACACAGTAATATACAGAAAAACAAACACACTACCACACTCATTTATTAGTATTTTCGTTCTATATTCAGAGAGTGGGAGGATAAGTAAAACTGTTGCAATATGATTTCTGTGTTCATAAGGACTCATTGTGGCTCAAAAGAACAGCAGATTTATAGGCTGCAGTCAAACCTGTAGTACCTTTTCTTTGATCTGAACCAGATTAAAATAAAAATCTTTCCTTTGTTGTTGTTTTTAATTTGGTTCATTTAGATTCAAACACCCCAATAACAAAAGCTTGAAACCAAAAATCAAAAAAAGTACTTTGGTTATTGGACAGTGATTTATGAATCTGTCATCCCCTAGAGGTTAAAGATGTAGTGCACAAACAAATCAAATTCCCGTCTATGTAACTGTGATTACACATTGCAGACTTGTCTGCGCTCCCTAACATAATTTACCCTGTAGTGTTTATCAGTTGTGAGCATACAGTATGGCATGGTTTAAGATTAAGTGTCAAGACAAGACCAGAACATTTCCAAACCCGAGGAACAGCTGGTGGTTAA